GATCACCGGTTCTTTTCTCTACAGGTTGATCGGAGCCAAATCACCAAAACACGATTCACACCGGAGAGCCACCGCACCCGAGAGCACCGCCGCCGGTAAGCTTCAATTTTTCGTGAATTTTTGGCCCACCGAGGACCCTAGGGTTGTTTTATCGCAGGAACCAATGCAAGTGTGGCCGAATTCGGCCGGAAACGACCGAAAACGGCCAATACGAGGCGAATCGCCGCCACTTGCGGCGGCGCCGTCGCTGGAGCACAGCGGAGCCGCCGTGCCGGAATTGCTATATTGGCTGAAAGGGGCCCTGGGTCTAATTTGGGATTTTTTGGGACACGTGCAGGTACCAGTAGTGCGTTTCAGTTCCCCAAGAAAAATTCAGGGAAAATTAGGGACAGCCTGTAGGCGCACTGTAGAGTCATATTCAGACCCCGAAACAAGTAAGGACCCCTCACCTTATTTCTTATCACGATATTAAAGTTCAATAAATGATAAAATGGTATTTCATGAATCAATAGATGTGTGAAATTGTTTAAGGTCGCTAATGGAGCCCGAGTCTGGTGTGTTTGTCGGTCAGCTGTTGTTTGTCCTATTTTACAGTTTTAAATGCAGTATGAGGTCTGATATTTTTATTTCATAGTTTCGTGTGCATATATCACTGTTTTATTGATTATGGGTTGAATGATTGAGAACCCGATGTTGTGTGTTGTCTTGTTTGACATAAATTACTGATTTGCTTGTTTGTGTGTGATTTGATGATGGTGACTGAGGAAAAAGGGAATAAAAGGTTACGTAAATTGATAATTGTATAATGTGGTCAGCCTGACTAGATATCCTGGGAGATGGTGGACGGACCGGGTCCGTAGGGAACCCTATCGGGATTGTGGTCTCTCATACCGGACGGGGTATGGAGACCTTATGTATTTTGGCGCCCATACCGGATGGGGTATTGAGGTTTATGGTTTTGGTGCTCATACCGGACGGGGTATGGGGACGGCCCTGGAATCTGATTACAAATGTTAAGGGTTCACGGGTAGCGGGACCCCTATGGATCCCCATAGATACTAGTAGGCTGGTAAATGAGAAAAATATGTTGTGTAATGATTGAAATGCAAAGGCATGGTAAGTATTATGTTATACAGTTCATATGATTTCATGATGATGATAATGTTATTGCTTTCGTATGTTGTTTTATGAACTTCACCGAGGTAAGTGGACAATAAAGGATTTTATTATTAATAAAAGAATTTGTTGTAAATTATGCTCCATTGGTCTTTTTGTATTTTCTACCCACCTTTACCTCCGTGGCGGTGAGATAGTGTGATGTCTTTACTAGGCTGGTGTAGCTCATTTCTTATTTAACCATTTCAGATCAGGAAGACATTGTTCCCGAGCCCGTCCCGCAGGAAGACGGCGAAGGGGACGCTTAAAGACTCCATAGTTATATTTATAGTTTTTATTTTCGAGTTTCTCTTTTAGTTAGTTTGTTTTTTTATACCTTGAGCACGTTTTTGGTTTTAGTGTAAGGGATGTTAATCAAAATTTTTATTACGCTTCCGCATTTGACATTTTTAATACACATATTTCATTTTAAAATTCTGGGGCCGTTATATACACACATATTTTAAATGAATAAAGCATTTATTTTCATCTTTAATTTTTTTAAAAATGTTCAAATTATATCATCATATTTTTTTTTTAATTAAATCAACCTTCAATTTTTTAAAATATTCAAATCGTTCCATTATCGTTATTACTCATTAACATCGTTAGAAATCAACACACGTCACCAATGGTGCATGTGATTTTTGTAACACCCAAGAAAATTTTTTCTTTTAATTTCATTATTATTTTATTTTATGTTAATTTAATTTAATTTATTCAAATATAAATAATAATAATAATAATAAGGGGTAAAAATTATTTTGGGATTTAATTGAAAATTTTTTTGAGAAAAATGGATGAAAATTTGAGTTCTGGGAGTATTTTTGAAAGAAAAATTGAAAACCGATGGTCAAAACACAATTTAGAAAAATTATACCACGTCAGCTGCCCGGTCAGCAGCCCCGGCCAACCAGAAAGCGCCGCGTGGTAGAGACGTTGACGCGGGAGGCCACGTGAAAAGGAGCTACGTGGGCGATCCGCGTGCGTGCAATCGAACAGCTGAGATCTGTTCCTGCGCACACGGACGGCCCAGATCAAAAACGCGCACGGACGGCCCAGAATGCATCGCGCACAGACGGTCCAGATTTAATCGTGCACGGACGGTCCAGATTGAATCACGATGAACGATCTATATTCATTTCCTATTTAATCGCGATCGGACGATGCAGATTAAATGCGATGAATGGCTCAGATCAAAAGCGGATGGTTATAAATAATTTCATCTGTACCCAAACCCAAACCCTAGCCACCAGAGCCCCTCATCGGAGAAGACAGCCCAGCTGCTGGGGAGCCGACCGCCGCCCACCGCTGCCGCACCGGAGAAATTTCGCTGCTAAACGAGATAAAATTATATCCTTTGCTCAGATTCGATTTAAACCTACCTATGGCTAA